TCTACAATATTCTATCTCCTCTGGCATGATTTTTGATGACCAGTATAGCATTCTGTCTTGTGGAGACATCGTCCATTTTACTTCAGACTTAAATAAACTTTTAAATTCCAAGTATACTTAACTGAAATACAGAAAAGAGAACTGTGGTGGTACATGAAGGCCCCTAACTCCCTTCCCCTTACTTCCTGAGAGTAAAAGCTGTTGAAAATTTGGTATATATATATCATGACCTTTATGCTATGACATACGTATATACACACATATGAGAATTCCATGTATACGTGTGTGTTTATATGCTTTATTTAAAAATGAGACCATACTATATGTTTTTCTGCTGCTCGCTTTATTCACTCAGGGGTATATCATAGACGTCCCACCACTCCAGACTCACCCGGTCCTTTCAGAAAGAGTGGAGGGGTCTCCTGATGTGCGGCTGTGGTCTCTTGTCCACAGACACCTTTGGTGAGAGAATGCTGTGGACAAGGCCCTGGACCACGGTGAAACGCCGGCTCCCTCAGTGCTCGCAGGTCGCCGTGATTTACCGCATCATTGTCTTGATGGTGGACATTTAAGTTTTCTCCATTTTCCACTGTCAGAAAGGATGTTTGACTGGCATCCTTCTTGTACAGACATTCCTGTGATCTTGTATGTGTATTCCTTTAGTTAAGACTTCTGGAAATTTAGTCCCTGGATGTGACATTTACATTCATCACAGACTCCTTTCAAGTGACTCTAGAAATTCCTTCTCCATTGGGGAATGAAAAGATGTACAATTACTTATGTAACCAATTCTCTATTGCTGGATATGATTTCACTTCTGTTTTTCTTCCCACCATTGTAAACAGTGATGTGTAAATGCCCAGAAAGGTGCATCTTTTTGGACTGATTTTTTTTTCCTAAAGGAAACGATTCCTAGAAGTGGTGTTGAATCAGTGTGTACGTACGTTTTTCAGAGTTTACATATCCATTGACATGTCGTCCTCTGAAAATGTCGCTCATGATTTCTTTTCCCACAGATGGACACTAGCTAGAATATCTTTTAAAAATATTTGCCAATATGATGAGCAAAAGTGCTTTTTCATTGTTTTAGTTTGCATTTGATGACCCATGTGGTATTGAGCATTTTTTACTCATTAGCCATTTGACTTTTTTAAAATTAATGATACCTTTTTTTCCTTTGCACACGTTTAAGTGAGGGAGCTTCTTGTTGCTTTGTGACAGGTCTCTGTATGTTATGAACATTAACCCCTTGTCTTCACCAACATGTATCACAGAGCTTTTTCTTGTCATTTCTTGCCTTTCATTTTGTTCAGGAGGTTTTATATTTTGGTTGTGTCTCAAAATATTCTTATGATAGTAAATCTCTTCCTTGTGGGTTTTATCTTTGACATTATTCTTAGAAATACTTTCTTATAATGGAATAAATTTCTTCTGTAGGTTTTTTTAAATCTCTAACATGGAGATGATAATAGTACTTGTTAATGTAAGGGTAAGTTGAGTTAATAAGAGGAAAGTGTTGTATTTGCTGTTATTAGTACTTTTTAATATTTACATCACTGTCTGTAATTTATCTTCTGCTCCTTACGACAGGAATAGGATTTATTCTTTCCAGGTGTTTCTCTGATTGTCCCAGGACAATTATTGAAGTCATACGTTTCTCTTTGATTTGAAATCCCACCTGTACAAAATACTTATGTACACTAGAGTCTCTTTTTGAGCTCATGGTTCCTTTCTGTCAATCTGCCTTTCTTACTCCAGCACCATATGTTACATATTGTAAAAATTTATTTAATAATTGGCAGTCTGAATTTTTTTGATTATTTTCTTCCATCCTAAATTTTCTTGTCTAGTATTATGACTTTATTATTCCTGAAGGATTCCAAAATATTTTGTTCAAGTTCAAAAAAAAATCAGATTGGCGTTTTCAAGGGAATTTTTAGTAAGATTTGAATTATTCTAATGAGAACTTACATCTTTACAAAACTGCCTTCCTCCATGCAATTTGTTGATGTGTCTACATTCACACCTCTTACTTTACCCCTCAGTAGAATCCTGAATTTTCTCCATTTAGAACATGGCCATTATTTTTGAATTTATTCCAGATTATTGTTTATGTTTTTGTCAATTTTGTAAATGATAATTTTTTGCTATTATATTTTTAAATGCTTAAAACTGACATTTAGAAAGGAAGATTAGGTTTGTAAATACTCACTTTGTAACTTGTCATTTAAAATTGTAAGTATTAAGTACTTGTTCCACAGTCCTTTCTTTGTTGCTTTTAAAAATTTGTATCCAAGATTCTCAAAATGGTCATAGCTAAGTAGTATAGGTGGGGAGACAAATGGAGAGAGGTAGTCAGGCTCATGTGCAAACTGTGAGGAGCTTCATGGCTACCTTTAGGCTGGAGAAGCCACAGAAGAGCCCAGGTTAGTCCAGGGATGGCTTTGGATGCACTTGAAAGCCAGCTTTCCTGCCTGTATGGTGAAGCCTGGTGGGCGTGGCAGGTAGACGATCAAGTTC